AAATCAAGTATTCGGAGTTACATAAGGTCAAAGGGCGTTCTACGTTATCATTTATTATCAGCCGCTTCAAAAAAGTTCTTATCGTGATGGCCAGTTGTTCGGATGAATCCGTTTTTATGCAAAGTTTGCGAGTTCACATTAAGTAAAATTATAGTTCACTCGAAGGAAAGTTCAAATTTTAATTCATTTTTATATGAACACGGAGTTTTGCTTCGGAACAAACAATGTCCGAGTGCGGGAATCCCATGACTTTGAATGATGAGGGACGTGAATTCTGCTGTTGGCATGAACTTGAAACAACTGATCTAAATAGGAAAAAAATGAAAATTGAGTGTAAAAAGTGGGTGCCTCAATAGAAATTTACTTTTTTTCAAACTAGCTTTCACCACAGTGTGTTGATTCGTTGCTTATTGGGCAATGTTAAAACCAGCAATACACGATTGGTTAAGGAATGATAGACTTATCACGCTGTCGTTGATTGGGTTAGATATCTTAGGGAAGCTTGTGTGACGATGTTGTATGGAAATACAGAAACCATCGGAGGTGTTGGAAAAACTGTTGAGAGCGACGAAGCTGGAAAAGTAAGACGGAAGTACAACCGTGGACGTATTATTGAAAGTAGTTGGGTTTTCGGTTGTATCAGGCAAGAAACTAAACGTTGTTTTTTTTTCGTACCAGTACCAACACGTGACCATGACACATTGTTTCCCATTATTGACAAGTACATATATACCGGGATTACAAGGTAATTTATGGAATAAATATTATATTGCAACTCAACTTTAAACAAATTAATTTCAAAGGTAATAGATCTTGAACATAACATTGTGGCTAGGACTTACCTAAATATATGATTAAGACGAAGAAATAGGCTACTCAGATAAAAGTAAGGATGTTTATTAACAAGCATCGACCAATTTGGACTAATTTGATAGCCAAGGAAATTTTGTAACCACTAGAGCATCACATATCTTATCATAATAAGAGAGTGTAATTGTAATAGCAGTAAGAGAGGGGAAATAATAAAGTTCTTCAGAATATGACATTTAGATTTTTATTATCATATCACTTAATAAAATGCTTTCTGTAACAATTCTAGATCATAATGGGAATAAAAGTACCCCAGATTAAAATTGTATCAAGTGAATTAAAGATACCCCACTAAAGCGAGGATCTCACCACCTTTTAGCGGGATGATATTCTTGGCAACTCAGAGCCGTGGCTTACCACTTGTGTGGTTTTAGATTCCGAGCTGTAGTTTAATTTACTCAAACCGCTACCGGCCGTATCACTTAAGCTGTGTTATAAAACTGTGGGATATGGCCAAGTGAAGTCGATTTAAAAAAAATGCTGATTAAAACTTCAATTATGCATTTGCATCTACAAAACATCAAAACAGCTTTTCATTTTATAATATTTATAATATTCAACAAACGTTTGCTTCCTTATTGCTAACCTCGGATAAAAGAATTTTCAAATTTGATTCAAGAGTGTACGAACTTTACAATCTTTAAGAAACCCAGTTTATGTTATTATTAAGTCCGAAACCATATCAGATCGTACAAATCCATAGGAAGGTATATAACGTGAGCAATGAAGTAAGCTTGTTGGATGCCTTGCTTACGCCACATTTACCTTCTTCTGGCTGGTTTTCCACACCATACTCATGTTATCATATATACCCAACATCTAACTCATAATAAATCAGTTTTTCTAAAACATAATATTGTTATTTATCATTCAGTAGTTATTGTTTAGGCTAGTTTTATCTACTCGAACTACTATAGTTTATATTAGCACATTCCAAAGTATAAGAATTAGATAGTTTTAACTTGTAGAGCAAAGGCAGCCAGTTGGCATGTTTCAAAACAACGCCTGCCTTCCAAAAGTAACAATTAACGGTGCAGTTGTGAGCAAACTTAAATACAGCAACACTCTTTCTCTCAGGGGACTCGGTGGTGGAAATGGGGGGAAATATTTCTCGCAAGAATGTATATATTTTTTATTTAAAATTTTCAAAATCCGTACATAAGTAATTTTAGAGTTTCCATATGGATTGATAGACTATTATTGAATACATTTTATACAAAGGAGAAAGGTTGCCAATTAAAATACAGCATGAAAACCACTCTGAAATATTTATGTTAGATTATAAATATACAGTGAAAATGCATTAATTTATTTTTCACAGCGTTTTTAGCACTTGAATGACCTATTGAAAGGTCATTACTCAAAATACTAATATTACATATTAGTATCTGGAGGGGCAGAGACTAGAAAACACGCAATCTAATTTGAATCAGCAAATTTAAATTGACGTTTATTTATCGTAAAATATATTATCCTACAATAATTTGTTACAGCGTCAAGACTATAGACTAAAATATTATAATATTGAATATAAATTATAAACTTATGTGAAGCTGAATAAAAAAAATTAAAGTTTTTTTAGGATAAAATTTAATTTTTATCATTCCAACATGAGAAACGCCATGTACGGTACGATGTTATTAACTATTAATTCAAAACAATTTCTAAGACGTAGCTAACACATCACTGAGACTATTGCTGTTGAATTCATACAGTTTTAATATAACATTGCAATATATGAACCCATTCACGAGAGTCACAGGTGTTTCCCATGCATGTAGCGGCCATTTTGCACAGTAACGCCGGTCATAAGACATGTCTGAGAGATCACCTGGACGTGACGAAAGGTATAATGACATAATCAATGTTAACATTACTGCTATCAAATCTACTTGATAACATCATTTTGGGGTATAGAATATACGTTGAGCAAAAACTCTCCAATTTATCTTGTTGATAATTTTTTGCCCTAACTTATTTTTGTTTTACTTATTTAATATAAATTTTTAGTTCTTTATTTTTAGTTTCTTCTTTTTAGTTTTTAGTCCTTGGTTTTCAGTTATTTAAAAAAGACTTTTCAAATATAAAACTGAACAGTCATCTCGAGCATTCCTAACATAGTGTTTTAGTTTTTCAGCAACTAAATAAAAATACATCTAACAACACTTAAAACAGTATATTTACTACAGTATATATAATGTTAACTCACAAGACTGTAAATATATGTTGTAAAGTATGGTAAGTGGCGATCGATTTCGATTGGACTCTCCAATCATCATCAGACCAAATAAGCGAAAGACCCATTTATGAAGTGATAGCGGATTTAACCTATATGTTCAAATTTTTATACCAGGGAGAGGGGAGAGAGGGAATGAAACAAACACTTTAGCAAAAGCTCTTTATTTAGCTACAATAGGAATCACTGAGAGCTAGGCATGATTGAATATTTACAGTTTAGTTTTTTTTTCACGCAAGACCAACAATATAGCATTAGGTAAAATTACTGCAACGTTAAACATATTTGCTTGGATCCAATCTTAAGTTTTATTTTCAAAATACCTTCAGGTAATACCAAATAATAAGCTATCTATCCATGTACAACATTCTAAGAATATTTACAAAACAATAGCGAAGAGTGTGAGTGGGATTAGCTTATAAGTTCAGCATATAAACTTACTTTAAAACGTAGATTAGACTAGTTATTTACTACTGTAATATCAATGACCAATTATTTTAGTTCACATATGATTCACAAGGTTTGTAAATTAATAATAAATATTATGACTGTATAAAGAATTTTTAGTTTAAAATACACGTTTTCATCCTCTGGGTAATAATTTTAAAAATATATAGATTAATAAACATTATGACGACTATACGGTATACAGAATATCTATATAGAAATTCCATGCAAAAAGATCAAGCAATGGCAAAAAGGTTTCTTCAGAAAACTATCAAAATCTTTCGCCATAGTTTAAGAAACGGGTTATATATAATGTAATATAATGAACGCTTTCAGTAAACATCGATTCAACATTTAAGTAACTAACGAAATATTTTCTAAATATTTTACTCCCTATACAAAATTTAAGCATAAGCTTTACTGCACAAAACGTCGTATAAGCCTTAAAATATAAAGTAGAAATATACAAACAAATCATGTAATTTTCCTACAGTTACCTAACAATGTACATGTTCTCTTTCTGATTTTAGAACGCAAAGTGGCCAATTGACTCTAATTACTTTGTCTCATTCCAGATTTGCAACACGAAGGCACGAAATAGTGAGCGCGTAACAGGCAGACAAGGTCGTATGCGCGCGAAATACGTTGGCAACACTGGCTGTAAATCAGCTGGTCAGCTGTTGTACTTTTGTATCATTAATTTCATATTAAAAGTCCACTTCTGTGTAAAAATATGTTTCGTTTCCTTACCAATTTATTTGTTTTATGGTAACTGTAGGAAAGATATTATGTGCAGCTCGAGTGCAAAGTGGGATTGCTCACTAGTTGCACAAATAACTATTGCATGTATTCATTAAGAGAACAATGTAGAATTTCTATAACACTATAATGAGCCTTATAATGAAACCTCTATGTTTTTGTAATTTTCGTAATTTACCTAAACTTTATTTAACATCTAAAAAAAAATAAAAGTAACTTCTTAACACATCCTAACAAGTTTAATTAAACTTAGAAGAAAGAAATGACCAAAATCGAATGTACAATATTTACATTTTCTTACACATCATTTTATATGATTTAATTATTTTTATAAACTCTACACTTATTATCAATAGTGATATGTTTCAATCTCACGATTTGGCACAATCATTAACATGTAAGTTTAAAGAAATTAATGAAATTCTTGATAGAATAACTCCTTTAATAAATGAAGATGTAGATTTTAAAAACTTAAGAAACTAAAATATTAGTAAGATAATTTATTTTAAGTAATGTATTTTTGTAGGTTTTATTTCACAACGTAACATGATTTACTTTAAGTTCATAAATAGTTTTTAACCGATTTTTTACAAAATTAATTTTGACCTTAGTAGTATAATTAAAACTGATTAAAACAGACAGTAAAAATTAGTTTTTATATTGTTAACCACCTATCTAGGTTGGCCGGACGGATAGCGACCTGCGCGAGCATTGGTCGTGCATGCAAGAGGAAGTAGTTTTCGAAGCGGCCGACCTATAGTGTATGTAAAAAAATAAACTTTCCTGTAACTAATATCTCGTTCTTGTGCCAAAAGATATGGACGTATTAATATCAACATATTTACAATGTGATTGAAAAATATATCCTTAAACAGATATGTCATAGATTACATAGATTACATATTTATATTAATATGAGGAGGATTATAACCGTAGAATGAAGAGTGAAGTGGCTACAATGAGGATGTATGAAGACTCCCGTCTATTGCAGTAACTATTATCTGCAACATAATTAATATTAATGAAATATAAAATATGAAATAGGCCTACAGGTTTTGTTTTCTAGAAGAATATTTGTAAATGACCAAAATAGTAATGTAACATCACATAAAAGTACTGTATAATGAAAAAGTTAAAAGGTGAAACTAAATGTAAAATGTAAACTTTGCTGAATTAGGGGAGCTCAAGGTCAACTCCGGACTCCAGGCTAGAGGCCAACGGATTATTACATTGACTTAGGAGCATTAGTGGCGGGGGTCACATATCTTGTTCAGAAGCTCTGCTAAAATATACAACAGCATAGTAATCGCATAAAGGTTTATTTGAGATATGAATACCCTTTTTAAGACTACAGAAAAACTTGACGGACGTAATCGTCACTTCCAGTAATTTCTCCATATACCCTTCAACAATAATATAACCAACAAAATCAAGATAGATCAAATGAAGAGAACATCAGAGACAGGTCAACGGAAAGCTTGGCCACCTGACGGAACAAAATCCTTATTTCTGTACAACGCTTGCTGCGTTGTCCAAGGCGCGTCTGTTGCGTCTGACGCAGAGCGATGATCGCTGAGCGTCGATCGCTTGGAGGCCCGTTGTCCGAGAACGCGTCTATTCAGTTCAACAGTTGGTTACTGACTGTGTAAAAATTTATTTTGCTCTCACTATTAGCGTTAAGAGCCAAGTGTTGAAGATCCTCTTCATCGAAGAGATAGAAAACGAGGAAATTCTGGACCTTTAGTGAACCTCGATTGTGTACCCACAGTGTTTTCAAAAAGAGAAGTGAGGAAGGATATTTTAGAATACCTATCAAAAACCACTTTAATGCAGACAAGAGTGCATTAATAGATTTTTTTACTTTTAATGGCAACAGTTTAAGTTCCGTTAAATCCTTTAAAGTTTAAGTTGTAATAATTTAATTTAACACTAATTTATTATTATTTTGAAATTTTTCTTTACTTAAATACAGATATCTCCTATTCTAAATAACTCCCAATATGTAATCCATAGCTAAAATAAAAGTCAATACTTTGGTGAATTATTTTAGACTATAACTTTAATTTAATTTTGTGTTTTTGTTCGTAGCGGGTCTCTAACTCGTCTGATTTCAATTATCAATAACTCAAATGGAAGCCCTTACATTACTGAATATTTTAAGGTTGAAACGAACTGCAAGCGTTAATAAGAACTGGAGATATTTAAAAAAATGATAAAAGTACGAAACGTCTATAAGAAATGTATGGGGAAGAGTTTTCGTTTGAATTTCTTTAAAACGAAAAATAAATAAAAACGGTTTCCCGCATTGAAATTAGCATGAAAATCTAGTTTTGTAAATTATGTGTCACAAAACTATCATTACATAAAAACAATATGTATATCCAATAGGGTGGCCATGAACGTGTTTCCTATCGAAATGAAGTACTAACCACCCAATAAATACTGGTGGTGATCTTAAGTCAATATCTCGAAAATGTGCATAAAAGATGCATGTGGAATCATTTTTTATTATTTTTCCAATGTTGGGAAAAGCCACCATTTTTTATAATGATTTTAGGGGGTTTCCCATGGACCGATTTTTGGCAACCTTTAGTATATCAATCAGCAGACTCAACACTACAAAATAAAACCCTAAAACATTATCTTGCAATCTTTTTAGGTCATATTCTATATTTCTTTGACTATAGCCATTACATTAAGATACTGAATATTATGGAGTATACGGGAGAACAAAGAAACAACAATGCAATAGACGCAATAGACGCTGGCCGTCAGCGATCCCGTCTGCTCCCGGAGCAGTGCCCCGCGTCAGACGCTCAGCGTCTCAAGCGTCAGACGCTAGAGACGCTCCCTTGGACAACGGGTCCATTGAAATCAATGCTTAGCAGTCACTGAGCGTCCATCGCTAGCGTCTATTACTCAGCGTCAGACGCAACAGACGCGTTCTTGGACAACGGGCCTTAGATGGAAACAGCTTTTCTGCATACGGTCTTCATATACGTATATAGCTTGAAATTGAGAACACTGTCGAAAACAACTCCAATCAATATGGCTGGGTTACAATTTTCACAGCTGTTCCTCAAATAAATAGTTAAGTCAAATCAGTGCAAAGGATACACGCTTGCTATGATGAGAAAAAAAGCAATGCGTACTTATCAGTGTTTAGGCATATTTCATGAACCATTTCTGGATTGAATCCCAATCTACATTGATTAGCTGAGCTTTAAGATCGAGTTTTAGCCTAAAATATAGACTCAAGTTGATATAAAGTGTACCTTCCTAACGTTTTACAGAAGTCATTTTTTACCTGCTTCCTCCTCCGTCTGAACTAGGAAGGGCGAGCTCATGGACCCTCTGCTCCACTCAGAGGGATATGTAGGGGTTGTGGAACTTGTCACCCAGTTTACTGGCCTCTCTGGAAAGAAAAATAATATAATGGACTTTTTCCAAAACTTAAAAGCGTGCGTGGTTTTAGATGAGGAAAAACGTTGAATCAATAAAATACTCTTAAATTACTCTCAGTAATTATCTTTATTACTGGACAAGGTCAACTGGTAACAGTTTTAAATGATCAAAATGCTATTGACTTATCAGGATTTACACTTGGTATAGACCTAGTTTATTAGCAGGCAAACACTATTTCACTCACCTATGAGGATAATAAGTCTAACTATTCACAATCGACATGATGTATAACTTTTTTTATAGTTTCACATGTAATGTATTTGATAAATCTTTGGTACATTAGAATGGGAGCTTTAAAAGTCAAAGGGACAAAATCCTGATTGTTATTTAATTTGTTTACATCCCATAAAATATCCATGTAAATAGTAACAACTCTGAAGTAATATAAAGGTATGCACAAGTAGTTACGGTTAGAAAGACTATAAAATTAAATAAACTATTTTAGAATAGTGTATGTTTTCCGGAGTCCTTCATTTATAAACAGGTACTACTTAAGGTGAGTAGCACATAGAAAGTAAGTGCCTTTCATAATAGCACTTCCACATCAATGTTTATTATCTGTTTATTAGAAAAGTTTCAACAAGAAAAATGTTACACAAACAATAAAATGATGTAATTGATTCCTTTCCAGTGTGTATTAGAAAAACATACACATGTTGTAATGCGATATTCCAGCTATTCCATGCAATCGCGGAAATTAATGCGTATTGGATCACACTGAGTTGAAAATTATTTTCCCTACCATTCATACTTGATTTCAAACCTACCTAAATAGTGGATTACAGTTTGATCAAATGGAAATTTTAACATGAAATTTGCAAACACACTTGTATAATATAAAACAACACACTCTTTTCAAATATAAAAAAAAACAGGAAATAACATTTAAACGTTAATGTCCTTGTACAAACCTTGTCTCTTAGGACTGCTGGATAACACTATTTTTGGAGGAACAGATGGTCGTGGAATATCTGAAACAAACAAAGAAACCGATTGAAAATGAATACTCAAAATGATTAACAGTCAAAAAGGTGCTACAAAAGGTCATCAGGTAGGGTAGGGGTAGGTTTACCCAAACCCAACCATACACCTAAAAACTATACAATTAAAAAATACTCTTATCATCATCGAAAAGGGTTTAAAAATAATTTACAACCGGGTTTACTGTCAATCCCTAAAATAATTACGACGCGCGATCGTTATAGCAAAACGTAGTACAGCGTAATTATAACAATCATTGATTTTTTAAATTATGTTTTTAAGAGGTTAATACTCTTTTACTTGTGTTTTGTCCATCCCCATAGAGAGCGTGAGACATTTACTATTCAGCAAAACAAGGAGTGAGTCGGTTTTGTATAAGGGTGAACTGCAAACTGCACTGATAAAAACCAGGACCCGAACCCACGACATTGCGCCTTGGACCTAACCGCACAAACACTAAAACGATTAGACACTCTATGACGTATATCAAGCGTTTTTCGTCCAACCAAAACGTTCATTCATTTGTTCATATTATGAAACTGAAAATGAAAGAAAAAACTCTTCGTACATAACCGATTTAATGTCACTCTTGTTAAGCTGGACAAAGAGAGTACTAATCGTGAGATAAGTGTAAACATGCAGCACAATAAAAATTCAGCAAATCTGTCTTCTTGAGCAATACATAATTACAAATTACACAATTCTGTAATCATGCGAATAGTATAATTTATTATTCTCTTTTTGTATTGCCATTAATCTTATCATGTATTATGTATCACTCACCATAAAGTCGGATTGAACCTTCGGTTTCACCTAGGGAGTTTTTGCTGACGCATCTGTAGTTGCCGATGTCCCGCTTGTGCAGACTATGTATTGTAAGTCGCATTTTAACTCTGAAACAATAACAGGTCCATTAAACTTTACAAAACCCTTGGGAGTTAAATATGCAATAAAATACGTATTTATAATAGGAATGGCTCTAAATATCTATGCTTCAGTCTTTATACAAAGAGTCGGGAGGATAGAAGTATTAATTGTAACATTCTGTTCCTGAACCCAGAGTTATCTATGCTTTAAAGCATTCCCTCTGAAGATGGTTCTGCAAAACACCGTAACGCGTTTTGAACAGAAATGAGGTTTTCTAACTTTTTTTGAGCTCGTAAAACCTTCGATCCGTTGGGATTTTTTGTTGAGATATCAAGGTAGTCAATGTATCAACGTATCCAGTAACGAGTTTGTATTATACCTATTAAAAGTTGTAAAGATTGTTTTACAAATCCGTAGCGGTTAGTAATCAATTTATTTTTAAATGTATAAGTAACATACGTTACCTATTGGTAAAGGCTTTTACCAAAGTACTAAAAGACTTTGATCTGAAAAAAAATAATTATGGTCAATTGAAAATCAAACATTTTTGAAAACTGAGAAATCTAGGGGTTTCAAGCACCAGGCGTGGTAGCTAAAGCAAAGCCAGCTATCAGGTAAATTCAACCTGAGGCGGACATGACCCGTTCAGAATAAGGTGGTGATGAAGCTATTATTAAACAAATGGTTAAGGCAAACGCGATGGAATAAAATTCTAGTAACACACCTAAAAAATTCGGAAAGATTATGTAACCAAAGACATGATATTTTTAGAGCTGATAAAGATTACACCCAAATTGGAGGATCAAAAGAAAGTAGAGGCTGTTAATTGATTAGGCTAAAACCTTCTTGGGTATGGATTGCTAAGGGGTTACGTAAGTAGGAATATGTAGAAAACACACATTCATGTTTAACTTTCATCTTTACTATGGTAATTGAAAGGACATACCACATAACATTGACGTGATTTAATCAGAGGTATGTTTTCATCCCTACCTGTAGCCGTTGACGTTAGCGCTCATGGTGTGTTTGGCTGTAGGCAGCAGCATGTTCCCCTGATAGACCCAGTAGTTGATAGAACGAGGGTGAGCTTCCGTCAAACACTCAAGAGTCACGTTGGTGCCCGTAGGAGCGCCTACGAGCTGGTTCGGCACGAAGATCATCGGAGAGACTGAAATTATTACCCAACTGTAGATGGTGAAGATTAAGTAACGTACAGAGGAACACGCTTATGGGAAAACCGTGTGCTTTCAGCTCCGGTATATTGGGGCGGAAATATACTTGTGACGAGCTAGGAAGAACCCAATCAGCGAGCACTCTTTAGAAATTCCTATCTCACAGGCTCAGAATCTTCCTCCACGGGAGCATTGTAGTACATGAGGGAGAGGAAGGTGGTTGTGGACTTTGCCCTAGACACCAGCACTAGTGCTAGACACGTGACTATTGAATGTTTCCTCTGTACCCTAATTCTCTGAGGATGGTGCTAGTAAATTAGCTGCTGGTAAAGGCCTGCTAATGTAATGGTATGTAAGCCTGCTAATACACATGTGGTACATAGATACTGCATGTTGCTATTGTATATGTTGTTGATCTGTGAGATATAATCTGATAAGATAAGCTTGCGGCATGCTCTGAGGATGCAGTTCACAAAAGTTTTTTTCTTTTACCAAAACTTACAACAAAATAAAACTCGGATAATGTGGGCCATACAAAAGGTCTTGAGAACAGAGGATTCCCTTCGGGCACCACATTCTACTTAGCCTCATTTGGCTACACTTAAGCTTTTCCAACGCTTTATCACTTCCACTATGTCTAAATAGGGGAGTTGTGATACTGTCGAATTTGACCTAAACTCGCATCTATACTTATTAAAATGCTACTTAAACTTTGTATTTTGAGTAAGTTATTGGGAGCAAAGTAGTTTTATTAACCACACTACTGATAGATAATCTAAACATATGATTGGCTACATTTTCTCAGCACATATTTGTTGAAACCATAATAAACCAACGCAATTCACATACCCTCAAGGGAATGTAGAGTTATTGTTTTTGTTTCATTACAACAAACGCAACCACTCTTGTTGATTTTAAGCAAAACTATTGCAGAACGTTTTGCCCACGTTTTGTTTAGTTTTGGTTCTTATCACCTTCCAATTCACATTGGTAAAATTACATTAGGCCCTACTATAAAGTTACGAAAGTAATGAAAATAAATTGAAACTTTAGAAAATCCTATTTTATAATTAACGACCTAGTAAATATCTCTGAATGTGTCCTTTGCATAACGATTGGATATTATTTATATATATAAATAGACAAATTTATATAAATGGATAAATAGCCCATGCATTATGAACCTGAACAATTAAGAACTTAAGAAGAATTAAGAAGTTAAGAACTGAAAAATTATACCTCAGAAAAACTCAAAACAGTAGAGTATGACAGTTAAAATAATACTGGGTAACAATCCAGAATATTATTTATTCCTGTATATTGGTGAATACAAGTTGACGGACATCTCTTTAAGCTTGGATAAAAACGCAGGAGAAAGTAGAAAAATGTGGTTAAGGAACGTGAGTTTTCTGACCAAGCCAACCTGACGTTAGTTAAAGTTTGGCAGGAGTGGGTCGTGGGTGACATTAAATGGGTTTCATCATAAGTATACTGCGGTTGTTCATTGAATAACGTTTATTTAAACTTCAAACTAATTACTAGAAAAATTAATGTTATTAATTTACTTAAGAGAGCGTTTTTAATATCAACTTGAATATATCAATATCGTTTGACCATTTAGATACATAACAGTTCAATTTAGAGTGAAATGTTCAAAGAACTTACAAACGCTACAGGAACTGTCTTACAGTAGATTTATATAGATTAGCTTACAGTTTTTAGTTGACAGATTTCTTAGCTCTGGAAGGACAATATTTGGCTGGGGAGGAATAAGCCTAGTGTGAATAAAACAATTAACTATTTGTAAAACCTTTGCGTTGGCATCCCAAACTGAACCTAGCTACAGTATATATATAACTCCACTTTCACTCTGGTCTTGATTTTCTTCCGTTCTTTCTAGACGGGTCAGGAATCAGGTTGCAATCCAGAGTGGCTTTTATTCAACGAGAATGTTTGTTAAAATGCAACTAAATGCCTATGACGTACACTTTTGATTTGTAGACAGTTAAAATTTGATCGTTTAGAGGAGGCGAGTTCAACCTTTTACTAACTAAAACTAGCTGAGTGTGTATTTAGAAGCTCTTTATTTAGCTACGTACTGGTAAACCATAGATATATAATAACAACATATATATTATATATCTATGTGGTAAACTTTTTGAGATCAGCTAGATAAAGAGCACATATTTAAATATAGCTCAAACCTGTAAAGATGTACCAACAAAATGTATAACAATTTACAAGGCTATCCATAGACTATGCGTGGAAATGCCGATAATTAAGTTAGAAAAAGTTCACAATGGTCAATAACGAATTGATATTTGAAACTATATTTGAATACCACAAAGAAATACTGTAGTAAGGATTTTTTGTCCCTGGTCCATATATTTTTGTAAAAATTATAGCATTCTTATATTAAATGAATAAAAACCATGATAAGTGGAATTGTTCTACAATAAAAGCGCAAGTATCTCACAGTTTCAGGCAAATTAACTGCTTATTCTTAAGGGATTACGTATTTTTTCATACTAATTTGCCATTTACTGTGAATAAATGTTCCCAAAAAATAGAACTAAGAATCCGACCCTTATAATAGTAAAATTGAATTACGTTCAAAGAGTCGTATGTATAGAAACAAAATTAGTAACACCAGGCTTATAGCAACACATTTACAAATAAAAGCACTAAGGGTGTTAAGCTAACGATAATATCGTTTGCCCCTTCTTAATTGGTTAAATTTTCTTTTAAAATCCATTTATCACAATAAGATATTAAGTGTAAAGTATATTTGTATCTGTGGAGATATTTGCACACTTCTAACGAAGGTTAATCGCATTATTTCCTTAAACGTTTGGAATCTACGTTTAAAGATAGAAATAATTTTTCTGGCAAACACAATACCAAAGGATTTAAAAGATCAAATACCAATCAGCCTTTTACTTGAAGTAGTAACCTAAATCCTCAATTTGATTAATTTGTTGTAAAAAGTAATACATAAGATACATATTTTTATTATACAACATACTAAGTGTACCTTCAACAATTAAAATTTAATTTTTAATTTTTTTAATATTAACAAAAACATTTAGGAGGCTGTTTTTTTTACTAGCTGCTATACCCGTTGTTTGCAACAGGAAGAGAATATTGTGTGTGGTCTCTAAATTTTGTTGTATGAAATGGTTAGACATTCGTAGCTCATTTTAGAAACAAGAATTATTGAATTTGATACTTAGTTCAGCTCAGTTTGTTACAATCATTTTCATTGCTTTCGGTTTAGCTTTCCCAGGTTACCCAGTACTGATATACAAGTGGCGCTAATTAAAACTACTATATCTATATGATTTATTTTATTTTTTTTAATACTCTAATTCATCTCAAATCCCAACATACATTTTGAGTCAATAGATACGAAATAATTTAACGACATAAGATAAACATATTTAGACTGATTCTTCGGCAATACAGTCAAGCTTATCTCTAGCTCATAATAGACATTTTACTGAACACCATAAGTAAAATATTACAACACTTTAACTATATTTTTCAATGAAATATTCCTCTTTTATTAAATAACACACAATGTTCCACAATTTAAACAATATTTACCAATCGCTGGCTTAAACCAATTTAATAACACTGATATTAATTAAGTGTATTCATAAGAATAACGTGGCGACTAACTTTGTACTGGGGAGTCCTGGCGAAGCTCAAATGTTCAACTAGTTGTAACGTAATCAGCAATTTGACATAATCACAAACATCCAAATTCTCACTTCATTTATAATATATCAATATAAGATTGTTTGACATGTAATTATGGCTTTTGATTTCTGAATGAGCACTTGACCAAAATCTATAAATACCCAACACGTAACTTTTACTACCACAAACACAACAATGTGGTAGAAGTATACATATTATACTTACATTCCACGTCTACTACTATTCTCTTCGCCACTGATGGAGGCACCCCGTTGGAGGCTATACACATGTAGGCACCCATGTCCTTGCGGCTGATGCGGGATATATTGAGATAGTCTCCTTCGTAATACAACACTGTAATCAGAAACAGTTATTTTTCCTTTGAATACAATATTATCACCGGTTTTATTTTATTAACTTAAACAATTTGAATTTGTTTGTCCTTAAAATGTTTTCATATACCTATCAAGGTCCATCCAATAGCACTATCACGTATAATCCTGTTCAATAAGTGTTTATCTCTATAAGCATATGAAAATCGCATATTTATCTATACTAAATGTAGTTGTTATCCAAGAAACACTTGGTATTACAAACGTGACACGGAAATACAAACACGTTTCTGTTTTCAGATCCCAAATGATCTTCATTCTAAGAAAGCAGAAACTGACGCCGGGTTGATGTAAATATATGTAAACATGATCAAGAATAAACTTGTTTCGTTTGATACAATGTGACTGTAGAACGTCTGAGACAGCGTGCAGCGTTTTAAATTTCTTTGTTTCCTTCTACCGTAATATGAGAGCAGCGGCGCCTGTTTTACTATTTCAATGTTTTCCGAGGCACACCTTCGCTCCCCAGTGTAATAATCATGTTTTCCATATTCTAACCTCCTGTGTATGTTTTGACAAAGTTTTTCTAAATATGTGTTTAATAGTACCAGCATCCATGCGTTTCAGAAAGCTGTTTTTACCTAATGTTATATAATGTGAAATATATCGTTCTATACCTACGGAAATTTTGTAGGTTGATTTAGACCTACAAAACAAGTTAAACAAAAACAATACAAGTTAAGTTGGGTTAAGTTGTAAACCACATTTAAGGTAAATTAGTCAAATTCACAGTTTATATAAAGCAACTTTCTATTAGCAAGTGATTGTTATTTTATAGTAAAAGAGAAAACGTGTACAATATCACACAAAATTGGGATTTCGAACGTTCACTGTAGGTATATATAATGTACCGAACACATATTCAACAATCGCCAACGTCTGTTTGGTTGGCAACATAAATATTTTCTCATTAACAAAACAATTACAACTGTACAGTAATATAAAAGAGCAAAGAATAAATCATTTACACTTTTAAATTCATTATACAATTTTTTTCAACTAAACTATTCGACTTCTGTAAACAAGAGCTAAAAAAACAATTAAGTAAAGTAACGTTTAATTATGGTAACTATATAATATAGCAGAGAGTCCTATTAAAAATTAAATTCTTGGATTAGATCCTATCCAATACAATTATAATAACTACACTAATAATAAGAGGGTAGCTAAGTGGTTATACTGCTCCTCTAGTAATCATAAGTAATATAAAAGGCCGGGGCCACACGTGGCGGATCGTCCGCGCGGCTTATGATCGTACGATCATAAGCCGCGCGACGATGTCCCGGCCACACGGAGCGAATGAACCGCTTCCGGTCGAGGTTTCCCAGCCTACGTACTGAGATTCTAACATGGTTTAATTCACTCGTTCTCGTTGTAGTCATGGAAGAAACACGTATGTTAGTTTGTGCATTAGAAGCGTGTGGTGAGCTAGAGCCTAAGGCAAACCGAAATCATTGGGTCCATCATTTCATAACCGATAAACCATTTGTGTTCCAAAACCTTTTACGAGCACATGCGAAACCATAGTTCGGAGTCTTTATTTGTTACTATCGCATGTAGATAGCATCGTTTGACGAGCTACTTCAATTGCTTTGACCGCATATAACTAAGGAAGATATACTCATGAGAAATGTACAACATGAGAAATCCCACATTATCTTTAACAAGTTCTATTGATTTGTCTGTACCGAACATTTTACACCTATAAACCGAAATGCACAAGTACAAACAAACAAAAACCACTTCAAATGCTTGAAAATGAGCTCCAACCGCGCGGACAATCCGTATCGTGTGGCCACTCTCATAAGACTACGTGTGTCATCCCCTCCAACGCGGCTTATGATCGCGCGGACAATCCGCGACATGACGCGGACAATCCGCCCAGGCGGCTTAGGATCGCCCCGTGTGGCCACTCTCATTTGATTCAATGTGTTGTCGAACCACGCGGATCATCCGCGTGGTCCGTCCGCGCGGATGATCCGCGTCGTGTGGCCCCGGCCTAAGAGTTAAAAAACTCGTTCGCAGTTCGATCTGGGAAGAGTGAGTAGCTTTTTGACAGTTTGAAACTAGACTCGTCTGTCCTTGTTCATTAGGCTTTCATTGATTGTTCCTGACTAATATAACAGCTGATCTTAGTCAGTTACATGGCAATAACAATATTCTCTCTTCATTCTACATTTATCGTTTACTCATATTTGGGTTGAAATACACACCTAGATGGCGTACACATATCTATTGATGATGCTAATAATAAATCATAATATTTACAAATGGAATTGGCAAAACTTAAAAATCCAAAAACATTCGCAAAATCTTAATAAACACATGAATTAGAGTTTAAACTTGATCGGTGATCTTTTTGATAGGAGCGTTAATAATCGTAATGGTTTTCTGAAGCTTTTAAACTTAGAAATAAACATAAACGTCACGATTCTACACGTTATACGCTGAATTTTATTTATTAATATCTTTCCTTAATTTCTTTCACTGAGTAAACGTCTTTTTCGCAAAGAATATAAGATTATATAAAACCTTATACAAAATTTGTTATACCTAGACTATTTATTTATCCAAATTCAACTCTTAATCAACCATACAACTGTTTGTATTTTTTTTTCAAAATAACTGTGTCAGAAACGCAACCCCTGTTTAGCACTTAACAGGTTTGACTTTGTTTACAACGGCAAGCTGAACTTGGGAAGAATATTGGGTCCACTTTTGTTGAAGAAGTCGTACAATTTCAAAAAGCAATAAATCTGTAAAGGAACGATATCAAACACAAAGAAATCTTTTCTGGTGGTTTAAATTTCGGTTTTAAAGGATGTAATTATTGTTTCTAAATGGAAGTCTCCCAAACTGTTGCAAATATGCACATAACAGATCCTGTCACTGCAATTCACAAACTGTACAACATTTAATTGGTCGTTACTGTTAGTGAAAAAGAACAACTAAATTAAATCTTAAGCCTGGAACGTCTATTTTAATTTACGCTGGATACTGAAGAATGTGTTTCATACATTACCAAAACAGGCCGAGACAAATAATGGTAGTCTAATTAATAGCTTTACATTTTTGTAATCGACATTTAAACAAATATAGTTTGAATATTATGTCCAATATTGCAATTACAATTTTTATTTTTTTTATTTTATTTCTGTATTACCAATCATATCTGTGGCCACCATTAAAAGAGAATAAAGTAAAAAACTACTAACAAAAATCCCATGGTGATGCTGTTTTATTAATAGCTGTAAGAACAACTGAAGAAACCTTGTTATTTTAGCACACATAATTTTGTTAAACGTTAATGAGATGATGTATACTACTTCTTTATTTGTCATGTGTACGACACCCTTCTGGAGACAATGAGACTTTTTTGATATTTGAGATCAAACTCTAACGTGATTATTATGTTCATACTATAAGTTCAATCAATACCTAAACTCACCAAGAGGTTTTAAGCTAAATAGAGACTTATATTATTATCACAATACAAAGCAAACAAAGTCAATAGAAACAATTGTATTATCATGAGAATATTACGTAAAGGAGAGGAAGTCACAATTGCTTAGCGATATAAAGGTATGCAGGTGCGTTCCTCTCAAGATATTTGAATAGCAAAAGAACGGAAAGGCAAAGATATCCTCTTATTTACATACATGGAATAGCGTAACGGGGAAATATACAATTTACCCAGCTTTTACTGATAAAACACTGTACTAATACTTTCTTATGTTTGAATAACTTCTGAGTCTGAATAACTGTAAGGAAAAATTCTAGACCAATGGTTTGAAATTTTTTTCTATTCAAAAGCCTATTAGTGATCTTTTTATACTTACAATTTAAGTTGTGATTCAATTCCAATAGTGAAAAAGACTGTTCGATGTGATAAATTTATTGATTCATCACATTATTTATACAGTAACCATTTTGTTCATTGTTATTTTATTGCAGTAGTTTATTAATTAATTAACAATTTATTAATTTATAATTTAACAATGTATTCATTTTGTTAAATATTCATGACAATTGAAGAGGTTAAAAAAATACAAGGTATCGCACAATATCCTTATAAGGATTCACAAAATAAACCACTTTAGTCCTGATTGTCTCATTGTTTTTGGACCATTACATTATGCATTTTCCCCTTATAGGGAATAAGCTATTACCATAGGTCCCTAGGTTTGTGACATACTTGTGTGTTCTTTGTCTATGTAACTCGAGTAAAAATGATACCATTTTGATGGAAACTCGTTTTTAAGATAGGTTTGAAGGAGTGTATTGAACTTCAAAATATTGTTTCCCATGAATTCTCTAAACTATTTTGTAGAGCTTAAAATTATTGTAATAATTGAAGTATTTTAATACATTTATAATTCTTATGTCGTTGTTATAGAGAATAAATAAAACTGTTGTATTTTGCTTGTTTATTGATATGAATTGGTTGTTTATTGATCAAACTTAGCGAGTTTAACTATTCTATACTAATCTATGAGCATTATACTGAAAAAAACACTTTATTACCCCCCTTGTAGCAGTAAACAAGTACTCGGTAAACCCAGAGATTATTTGAATAGGGAATCAATATGACCTGTTCAATGAAATATTTTCGATAAAATACAATCTGGTGAATGGAAATTCGCTTGGAAGAGTAAGAATAAGAAATATAATAAGGAGGGGCATTGATCGGATGAAGAGAAAGTTATATTTTCTTTCCTGTTTTTACTATCCACTGCCCGTCACCACAAACCAAAAATCTCTTTATCCAATTATAGTGAGGTGCAATGGCTTAACGCATGTAGTTCAGTGACTGTAGGGATAAGTAATGAACCAGTGTCTTGTCTTGCCAATGTCTTGTCAGCCCCAAAATAAATACTCGGAAAACTGATAACTGACATGTCGGAAAGAAAGAATATTAAATGACAACCTAATCCTCATGTGCCAACTTAAACATTTGAAGACAAACCTTATTCAACATCTATGTGAATTCTTTGTTTTAATTTAATTGTTGGTGGTGTTAGGTTTATGCTATTCGAGTCATATTGACACTTAAGTGTTCACAATGGTTCAGAATCCGAGATATAACTTCGTCTACAAGTGAAAAGGTCAACATAGGTAGAAAAGGAAGATCACAATCTACCTCAAAAAAGTTAAAGTTCCACATAGATGTGTATGTCTTGCGCAGACATGGCTATGTTCTTTACCTTTCCTTCGTTGTATTGACTGTTCTTTTCTGTAATAATTGTTTAATTACTGTCTTGTTTCGACTACATTGATGTTTTCTTTGGGTTTTAGTTGATTTTCTACTACCAATTTTCTAATGTCATAGGCACCTTATCACCTGAGGAACATATTCAAGATGTTGAAACATTAAGAACACTTGTTTTAAGTAATCGTGATTAAAGATAAATATTGTATTCCCTAAAGTAATCCGTGAAAACTTACTAAGGTTGTAAATGTCCTCACAAATAATCAACTCCATCTACTACTCGTACCTTCGTTTCTCCTGTCCATCATAAGCATCTGAGCGTCTTCTCGTCTCCAGGTGACTTTTGGGGTTGGAAGGCCCTCCGCTTTGCAAACCAAGGAGATGTTCTGGTTTTCCCTCACTGCCACGGAAGACGGCGTACTCTCCTCGTCTACGATGTTGGGAGGGACTAGAACATAAAACATAACATACAAACATAGCCAGTAAATAGAGCGTGTGATATGGAAATTGAATCGGACTAAATACGAAGTATGGTAGCGAAAGATTATTTGAAACCATAGACTGACCAACACAAGGGGTTATTTTACCAATAGGGGTATTTTCATGATTTATGTTTTTCTGTTTAGTCATATAACCAGAAGACTAGTTCTTGTTCATGATTAGATATTTTTTTACTGAAATAACAAGAAACAAATTGTAAAAAAAACACGATCCCTACAGTGCAACCTACAGAACCAATAACAACATTTGATTCAGCTGTTCCATAAGGATGTACTAAGGGAGTGCGTTTTATCTATGATGAAACATTCAGCTGAATGCTATGGATGCTTTTGAGAATCCGTCTCTGATTAAGTGTTGTTTATTTTGTTATAATGTTTTAGATCCTGACTAACTGGACTCCTTGCACTACCTCATTCTTACCTTTGACCTGCAGGTAGCCGACCTGGCTGATCATGGGGTTCGTGTTGACCTGACACATGTAATAGCCTCGGTCTTCCTGTTGAGCTCCTGTCACGTGTAGAAGCCACGTGTTCTGTGAGTGACTCACGCTGAATCTCGGCACTCGCGATATCACGTGGCGGTGTATTGTCAGTATCATTTGACGGTCAATGTGGATCCAGGCAACCTGTAGGCATATACGTGGTGCTATGTTGTATAAAAAGAAGTAGAAGTAGTTTTTATGGCATACTTTTAACATCCAAGAACACGAGGATCTATATCGGAACTATTTTACTATGTTAAGACATTGGAGATTGTCAATATTTGAACCGGGAGGCTCCCGTACCGGAATCCCCGTGCTCTACCACTAGACAAAATTGCTCTGGGAGGCATTAGTAGTATTGAGCTGTGTGCTATGGACAATGGACATTCTCTAAATCAGTAAATCTGCTTTCTGAAATTGTGTGATATTTGCAAAAAAAATACTATCATTGTTGGTTTTATTTTAATAACTGCTATAAAATACGCATACTTCAGATGCTCGCCAAGACGTGGTACCAGGATTCAGGTATTTTTATAGTGATTAAACTGACCGATATTGTCAGCTTTTGGATACAGTAGCGTCTGTTCGTCACGAGTATGTACGAATCAGCTGAAGAAGTTTCCTAAAAAATTGTATATCAAATTCGACCAAGTAGTTCATTGATTATTCTTATCCAAATTGTTGTACACTGTTTTAATTGTCCATTCCCAGGTTGGTTTAGAAATTTGTTTTACAACCTACACCAACAGCGTCTTCAGTTACCTGTTAACAAATCCCCATAGCAATGTATAGGAAAATACTCACTTTTTAGCTAAATGAATCGGCAATGTTGGTAAAAAAGTGCAGGCAGCAAATGTTGTGCAATGTTACGTACAATGTTGTTTGCCGCAACATGTTGATGCAATGACGTTCAGTAATGCTACGTCATAGTGGACAATACTGCTTTGATTTACTGTTAATTAAACCCTATCTTCTGCTCAGTGTGTTTCGACCCTAGACTTAACATAGATTTATTTAGTGCAATATATATAGGAAACTGATAACTTTCAAAACATGTTATCACTTATTACTATAAACAAATCGCCACAAGTGATATGTATTCATTTTCATTAGAGTCTGGATATAATCGTAAGATAATCCAATATTGTAATGGTTTTGAATTAACGTAAAACATAAAAGTCAAAATAGAAGCCGCGGCTGTTAAACGTTTAAACTTATAAAATATGTGACATTATCATAGCCAAGAAACGGAACTGTTGTTCAGTTTTTACGAAACAGGAATAATTTTCATACTTAAAATCAATGCTATACTTTAGCTGATCATATAGATTTTAATATAATATTAAATTTATTTTGCAATTTATAATGGTTTAAATACCTGTATTCAGTAATCCAAATTGCTGCTTGTGGCAACTATAGTTTCAGTTCACAGGGAACCATCTTCAGACCGTACAAGGCGTCGTTAAGTACGGTCTGAAGATGGTTCCCTGTGAACTGAAACTATAGTTGCCACAAGCAGCCATTTGGATTACTGAATACAGGTATTTAAACCATTATAAATTATTCAAACGCAATCCGGAGGCTAACAACTATTGAAAATGTAATTATGTTGTAATGTAAACATAATTAATATGACATAAGCATGCATTTTGTTTACATACCTTTAATACTGCGGGTAGTAAATAATTCAGAAACAACAGGAGATTACTATTAACTTTGGTTAGCCTTGAAAATGGTGTTTGGCAATGTTATGTAACAAGAAAATGCATGATAAGCACCATACAAATTAAATTTAAATGTTTCCTCAACAATGTTATATGTTTTTTTACAAAGTTTTCCTTTCATGTACAAATATATCATCGTATCAATATACAAAAATAAACTAAATAAGGGTGATCGCTGTATGACATGAACAGTGTGAGTACTGACTTACCAAGTAACTCAAGAATCTGTTCTTGGCTTATTCATAAAATTGTGGTCTATTTTCAATACTATATTATGTCTGTCATCATTTTTAATCTCCTAGGTTGGCTAACCTTGTGCTGTCCAAGGTTCTCCACTACGCAGGGAAGGTTGGCATCCCTGCCTAGCACGACGGTTACGTTGGGGATAGGCTCCACAAATCTCGGCCCATCCGTCAAGGCTAAAACAGAAAAATAAACATGAATTATCTACTATTTTTATTTGGTAAATTCTATTCTCGGTCAAAACGTAATACTTATTTATTATTCACCAATCCTACATCATTATTTATCTGTGCGTATATTTATTGGTTTAATTATCGCATTGTAATAATTATTGTTTACCTAACTATTAATTAAATTAATTTACCAACCTTTGTATTTGCTATAAAGTAAATTATATTTGTTAATTCCATATCCACACCATTAAAGTGATATACCTACCTTATTTAAGCTGCAGTTATAAACAAGTCGTATTCTATTTATAAACTTTTAATATAATTTTTACAATCTACTGTTGTTGAAAATTCTACTGAAGGATTTCCTCACTGCAATTCACATGTAACCCGTTAAAGAAAGTTTGTCAGCATCAACAAATCTTTGGCAGCGCAAATCCCTCATTTTAACAAAATATACTCATTGCATTTTCCCTTTCACTAAATAATACTTAGTATGTTGAGATTGAAGTCAATTTCATCCTAATTTTTAGGTTATTAAATTCAATTCCGATTAAAATTTAAAAAGTAAAATATTCATTGGTTAAAAAGTAGGTTAACCTACCTCAACTGCACTGCCCTGGGTCAGTTATGCTATTTCGTCATATTTTATTTATTTATTTAATTATTTATTTTTACCTGATGTAGATATTTTAACAACAAGCACAAGCGCACTCCAGATGAGTATAAAGTCAATTAACTTCATCACCAAACTGAATCATCCGACACAGCTGACATGGCCCAATCACGATTGATTTCGTCATAACAGTTTCATTCTTGCCATATCGGTGGCAGAAGCTTCATACTCCAGCTGTTTAGATGTAAACTCTTGAATTAACTGTCGAAAAGTATAAAATACAAGGAGTATCTAAACACTACCTAACATTAAAGTAAAGTAACATAAATAATCAAATATGCTGTTTATTTTTATTTTTTTCTGTTTACACTTCTTTTTAATGCTTTTAGAATTAAGTCTAGCTGCTAAAATACTCTTGCTATTAATAGGTGCCTGCCACAAACCGCCTTAGAACTAGTTTCATAATTCTTTGTACTCAGAAAACAAAACTAAAGAAAAAATAAATAATCTGTAAACTTTGTTTTTCATTTTTTTTCTATTGGTCCTCGCCGACAAGTTTTGTTAACTTGGCGAGGCCATGCTTGTAATATCTTAAATAAATATATTTGAATTTAGATTGGGAAAAACGCTACTAAATAAAATATAAAACGTTCTTTGTGTATTTTTGTGGTCCTCGGACGACAAACGTTTTAAAACCGATTAAATAATTTGACGAACACTTTGACACAGTCGTTACCCAAAGACATGAACATACAGTAAAGTATTGCTAACGAATGATAGGATAAATATTAACATTACGTATTGGAGACTGTTCCAATGGGGCCTTGTTTGCCTAATGTAACTGTTTAAAGTTGTAACATTTGTATACGTATAAACGCATTGTACAAGTTAACATTATAAGTTCTTATAGAAAATAGGACTGAAAGATATATTCAAGAACCTTAGTTGTTATTATCATCATTATTGTTGCTATTGTTATACATTTGTTTGTAGACGGTGTTCTTGCAACACATGAGACCATCATAGATAAGATTTAACTAGTTATTACGTTTTTTTTTCTTTTTTACGTGATTAAGCTATTTAGTTTACATAAAATCATAGTAAACTAAATCACTTTTACATCTGAATTTTGTTAAATCCAAAGTTCGGCACCGACTCCGATGCCTAAGGGACGATGTCCGGTGCATCAACTAAGATTTCATATATATAAAATCGAACATAAGTAGCTTTTTCTTTGGTAGTGTTTTGTTACTTTCTAAATAAATATCACTAATATGAATACTAGAACAATATTTCAAAAAGAGTATCTCCTTCGACAAATCCTTAAATTTTATTCTAAACACTGCTTTCATTATAAAAGTGCACAGTGTTTGTAAGCAAATCAATATTTGTGTATCAAAACCATTTTAATAAGAACATTTGCTTCAGTTTTTCGGGGCAATCAACACCTCTCCAATTCTCTAATACAACGAAACATAATTTTTATTGCGTTTTAAATCAATTTGTGTTGAACAAACGTAATTTAGTAAGTGGTATGCATTGTTGAATTCAATCCTAAAAGTTCTTCAATGAAGTTCTCAGGTAAACTCAAGGCGCCTGCTCTTGATGCAGCGATGCCAGCAGAAAACTAAACACTCGTTTATAATTCAACAACTTTAGCCTTTTCGTCCTTCTACTTTCACTGCCGTTGGACACAGTTATTAAATCCATGTTTATAAAGGTGTAAGTGGCCACTTAGCTCATTCAGCATTTCATTCCACTTGCACTAAATTTGTAGACATACGTATAGTTTACATTGACATTATTAAACGTATTTTAGATTGTTCTACCCAATCTATATGAAGCTTGTTATGTATGTTAATGTAGAATAGACCCAAAAAAAATAATGATAAATAAATTCAAAATGGCGGTCTTGTTGGCTATTAGCGCGAAATGAATTTGTTTGACAAAATTAATCTTTTTTTGCAATTTGAATTTTTTATGAAATTAATGGCAACCGTTTGAAATTTAAGTAGGATATTTTTTCACTTTATATAACTGAATATTCTTGTTTCACGGATGTGCTATTTAATTAGTGTTTTGATTTTAAATTAAAAATACGTATTGTACGAAATTCCAATTTACTTGTTTGAGATTTATAGTTCAAAGTTATAGTTTGAAATTCTTATGTGTATTCATTACAGGAAACCCCTTACAATCATATATTCACTAAATTTGCAATGAGTAAGTAAGGGTAAACATGCTATAGCCAAAAAGGCGTATATGTTCGAAACAGAAATTTTCATTAATAACCCATTGCAGTGTAGACTAAGTCGATAAGAAAATATTTAATTTTCATAATTTCACAAAACGAACATTAAGCACTTAACAAAAAAATATTTCTTGGAAAATGTACTTTTAGCAACGTTGGAACGTACAGCAACACAAATTGGTGCCCGTTCGCAATGTTTATTATTTCAACCTTGCATTTCCACATCTAAGTTCCCAAGAGGCGTGTTGCCGTATCAAAGTTTGCTCGCAAGTGCACAGTTAATTGTAACACTTGGGAGGCTGCGCTGTTGTTGAAACATATCCTCTCACAGCTCGGAATAAAACACTTTTCTTTTTGTATCCCTCAATTTCACGTAAAATGTGTCGGGATTTTTGGAAATGATTTTTTATCTTAACCTAATAGGTAAAAAAATAAACATACAGATTTACAATGTATGCTACAACCTACTAACAATGTTTAATGGAGAAAAAAAATGGAAACAAAAATACTAAACTTATTATGTATAGATAAACAAACAGACTTGACGTAGGTTGATTGGTGAGTTAGCGAGTCCAAAATTTATAATAAATCGTTTATATGATTTTATATTTTATGAAAAACTAATTAAAAGTGTAAAAACTTTAAAGAATATACAGCAATTTTCAAGCTTAACTCGATTGAAATTGTTTCATCTGTATTTGTATACAGTAATAAATAACTGTAATTAATCTCCATTTTTAACAAACCCACAATATTAGGGGAAAGGTAGCGATGTTAAGAGAGGATAACCATAAGACCAGATTCAATTACAGATTATTAAATATTTACCTTGGTAATCTGCCTCTTACCATAATCTCACTTTGGTCCAAACAATATAGTTGTTATATTATTAGATTTTTAACAAAAAAAAAACCTAATAATTGGGAAAAATTTGCTTTTTAGAACTAACCATAAATTTACTTTTCCACCTTGCCTAAGCTAGCAGCCTCAAAACGCTCCAAGTATCATTTTGTTTAAGTTTTAAGAAGAATTTAAATTTAATTTAAATAAAAAAAAACAATCGAAAATGATCGACAATTTACCATAAAAAAGGATATTACAGATTTAATTGGTGAAGAGGATCTCGTTTTATGGGTGGTTTTTGGATTAAAACTAGATAAAGTACCTATAAAGTTTTGATTCAACGAATACTGAAAAAGACATCATACATAAATAGATACGATAATAATTTAAAATGTAAACCCTCATATTCTGTAATTTTGCATTGAATCCAAACCTATCTTGCAGTTTAAACAAACTAACCACTTATAGGCATTCAATTTTTTGTTGGCAAAAATATATTTCAATTATAAACTAATAACTGGATGGAAAAAAAATTATGAATTATAATTTATTAAGCGACAAGATTCGATAAATTTAAGCGTTTTTATTTCAAACTTATTTGTGACAATACCATGCTACAGTTGCAATGTGTTATACAGCTTTTTTGCTAATAGTGCAAACATATTTTTTTTTACTAAGTAAGTATTTTAAAATCTGTTACCATAACAAATCAACACTACATACTACATAGAACTAAAGAGTCACATTCTATAATGTTAATCCATTACTATTTTAAACATCAATGAAAAAAAAACTCCTAAAATAGCACTAACAATAGCATATCTCAAATAATTTACGTTGATGCATAGGAACATATTTCGTGGAAAAAATTACGTTTACATAGTTCTTGACATGAATAAGACAACCAATGGTACATATTTACTGAGTTATTCCATCGTTTGCGCACAGTATTTAAATGAAGACAATAAGCTCTAAATATTTAGAAGACAGCAGAAGCAATAATTCACGATACACTACTCTCCGCATCGCCATGTCTATTATCTAGGATCTACTGAAGTATTGAGAGACACAGTGCAGGAAACATTTGAATATTTAACAGACAGCAGGACGTTAGGTCATTAGAATATCATGGGATGCCACCAAAGTGATAGTGACAATGGGTTTTAAGATGCAAAGTACATACAGTCCATCATAGGGTCCATGAAATATACTAGATGTCAGAGGGTTAGGAATTAATAAAATGGCAGTACGGTTCTAATCGTCAAGCTAATACAAGTTGATAAATGTTATTACCTGTTTC